TGTTTGATTTTAATGTGTCCAAAAATTGTTTTAAAAATAGGATTAAAAACATAGCATAAGTTAAACTAGTCTGTACGACACTGTCGAAGACGAAGAACAAATAAACAAATAAACAAATAAACAAATAAACAACAGAGTATCGAAATTTCACGGTAGTTTTCGACACGTTGAAGGCTGCCGGATTTGTGAATGGGAATCATTGAAGCAGGCCTGGGAATTTTTTTTTCTTCCATTGATCGATGGTACTACTAAAAAAGCAGCACACTCTTTCAGTAGATATGGTGACAGACCATCGACCCAAGCTCCCTTTGACACGTCGAGATTTTCCAAATCTTTCTGAACTTCCTCTGGAGGCAGCAGCAGTACATCATGGGAAGGTACATTTTGGAAACAATCTGGGTGAATTTGAGGCGACGTTGAACTGAACACGCTTTGAAAGAAGTTTGGAAAAAGAATAGCGAGGTGGCCGTAGATGAATCGAAGCTAACATTGTTCGGAACACGATTGTTGGATCTTTGCGCCTTTACGAATTTCCAAAACATCGATGTGTTTTGCTTCAAAGACGACTGCGAACTTAGCAAATAATCATGGTGACTTGAAGCAAGAAGATAATTATAGGTCGTTTCATCGTGTCGGAGAAAATCTCTGTTTTCGTCAGTTCTAGATGCGAAAAAGCATTTTCGGATTTTTCAGAGCCTGTTGCGCAGGTTTCGCAAGTCAGCGAGTGTTTCGGTACGGTTTTGTACATATCTCAAGTAATAATTTTCGTTTTATGGGGGTTCTCTAACGTTTGCATTTAAAAAAAGGAGAAAAATTGTCGATTTTTCATGGGTTTACCTTCACCACCCCGGGAGCAACTAAACAGCTCCAGTGTAATGCTAATGTACCCCGAAAATTCTGGTACTCTGGTTCTGTCAAATCGAATAATGGTGGAGTAAATTTACAATTGGTCTTATTTTTTTATCAACTTTTTTTTCCCGTTTTTAAGTTTTTTGTTTTTTTTTTAACTTTTTATAAAAACATTGATATTTTTTCTAATAGTCTTCCAATCGACTCAGCATGACGGGATCGGAAAATGTCTGTCTATTTATGTGTGAGGGAGCGCGTAAGACAATTTTCTTATATGTATTTCTCGGCAACCACTCTACCGAATTGAACGCAACAACAACCAAATGAAAGCTACCATGATTCTATAGAATGTTTATTAATAGACTTTCAATCAGTGGCGTCTCGTCCATATGTGCACCTCGTGCACTGCACAGTCTCAAATTTTCAAAAAGTAAAATTTATATTTCATAAAAATTAAGAGGCAAAAATTTAATACTCAATTGAAACCATTTTTGTCCGCCCTATTTATTGGTTTCATATGGATAGTAACTGAATTATCCACCTCCGTTTTACCCACCACTGAAAGAAATGTACGTAAAACAGAAGCGAGGCATAGCGATCTTGTTTTCACGTACGGGCACGCTGGGATTTTACCACGTGCAGACAACACTCTTTTTGGACTTCTATGGCGAATGAGCGACACAAAACAAGCAAGGAAAATATGCCTTCGTTCTACCGGTTCTACCACAGCCACCGCATGCTTAGTTCTCCCAGTCTGAGCACTTATGCTTGTGCACCAGAAACGCTCGTATTTACAACCAGATCAGTTGTATATGTATTGAAGTCCCGTAAGCATAATTGCCGCTGCGTTAGTGTTTATTTTGTGCACTTCTATCTTTGCACAGTTTAAAGAGAAGAGAATAAATTGGCACGTATAGGCTACGTTGCATTTGAGTTTCTCTCTGAATTGATTGAATCTTGGAGAGCCGTCATTCGTTGTATACCTACCTACACGCACACATCGAATTTTCAAATTTTTAAATTTTCTCACTACCATGTCTGCATTTCATTCAGTAGCCTCAGAGCATTGATGGAATATTGTTCATAGCATAGTGCAAAATTAAATAAGAATCATACACATGAGACTTAAAAAGAAAATCAATGTTTCTATGCAAGAGTAAGCAAAACTGGTAGCAGAACTGTTTCCCATTATCATTTCGTTTATTTTTTATGCAGGTACCCCCGTCGAAAGATTTGCATCCAATTTTTTTATTATGCATCAAAATTGGCTTCTACTGTTACAAACAAAATATAAATAAACTAGGTGCACAACTAGTGATTTTTCTCACGTGACGCCACTGCTTTCAATCGATTAACTGGTTCCGGATATATGGACGGAACAAGACCCTAAAATCCGGGAACTAAGTGATGTTTGTCGGCAACCACATAACCGAAATAAACGAAACCCTTTAATCGGGTTACTGCCCAGTGCCCACATAGGAAATAACCATAAAAAGTGCTTAAAAACCTGTGCAGGTTCCGAACTATGTGTCATATGGTTAAACCATTTGGGTTATGGTTCGTATATGGAACATTTTTATTAGGGTGGTGCTTTCGGGGTAATTTTTAAAAAGAATATCAGAATTTACAGAAATAAGAAGTGCCAGATCACACCACTGGTGGATTAATAAAGTTTTTTTTATTGTGACGTTTATTGAACTATACAGTAATCAATTCTCCTTCATTCTCCACGGAACAGTATCAGTTTAGTAAGTTTTTTACGTAGTGAAATCTTGATCCCACCGAAGTTTTTGGCGTGCTGCTCCAGTCGATATTTAAGATAGAAATCAATGCATAATTTGATCAACATATTTCGATGGTTGTTGACAGCATCATGATCTAAAATGTGCTCTGCCAGTCGATAAAAGATTTGAGTATGATAGTTGGAAATATTCATTAGTATTCGATTTTCCAGCAAACAATAGAATTTGCCGACATTAAAGTTATCCTTGTTATTAACGAGTATCTTTAGCTCTACTTCCGAAATTTTGCATATTAGAAGAATGCAACCATGTACTTCAAGGCTCTGAGCGTTTCCGGTCAACTCTTTCAGGCAATCCTCGCATTTCAACTTGGTGGTGCGTTGTTTTTGAACGTGCATCGCTGAATATATCAATGACTGTTCAATAAAGTTATCATCAACAGGTTCATTTACTACTGCGTCCGAGATCATTTCTTCAAAAGAGGTATCTTCTTCATTGTTTTCATTCTCAGTGACCATTGAGCTCCTCATTGAATCAATGTAGAACTTCGATTTTTCCTCTGCATGTAGCATTTTGATTTCGTCAAAATTTTTGCAGTTGGCATAAGTTGATGATGTAACGTCGTTGTTTTTAATCATTCTTTTGTACGCAGCCTTGAATTGAACTGTGATTGGATTGTTATTATTTCCTCCTTTGGCACGTATGGCAGAAAAAAAACGTCTCTAGATGATCCTGGCTTACACGATAGCACGCTATTTCCTGTAGTTCACCAAGTTCTTCAACATGGCGTTCATACATATCGGTGAAACTTTGAATCGCAACAAGGAAGCCGACGAATCCAGTTTTGTTATTAGTATCAACTATTTTAGCCCACACCTTCTTTCCCTTCCGGGCTTGTTCCACCATCAGCTCTAAAATATAATCCCGTGCTATGTTAAAATATTGCCGGAAGCTTTCAATATTCCCGGCATTTATTGGACGTTTAAAACCGGTAGTGTGCTGGTGCTTGCTGTTGAAAATATCAAATAAATTGTTAATGATTTCAATACACTTGATTGTTTCGTCACAATCTTTGAATTCATTATTGGTAACTTTCAGTCTCCGCAAAGCATCAGCAACACTACGGCTGAGTGTTTGTACCGCCAGATCCACTCGCATTTTCTCGTTTTGAAAATTGATGTGTTTGTCCGTGAGTTTTCCCACCTTCATTCCACTCAAATTCTGCAAATCGTTGAGCATAGCGATGTATTTCCACTCGACTACCCCTGATATTGACTTTAAACAACCTTTTGCTGCCAGTGTATTACGGAAAAGTTTGAGCATATGGCATATATCCATTACTATGTAGATGGGTTCGCCAGTACATGGATGATTGAAGCTTGTTTTAAAGTTTTCATTAAACTTCAAAGAAGCACCAAGGGCGTTCGCGGTACTGATATTGGTATTTAGTCCATCAAACTTAAGCGCAATAACAGTAACTCCAATTTCGTGCAAGCTTGTCAATATCGTTGTGATAAGACTGGTTTTTTGTAGCGTATCCAGGGAGTCAGTGAAAAAGTAGGCCACTGGAATTTTGAATTTTTCTTTGATTCCAGTTGTTATGTACTCAATTTCTCTTGGGGTAGATTCATTGCCCTTACCACAACAGCACAGACGAAAACCTACCTTGTGATCGAGCCACCGACAGCTATGCACTTCACAGCCACCAGCGACGGATCGAAGAGTCACCGTTGGCTGTACACGCTACAGCCACCAGCGACGGGATGCCTCTCTCAACGAAGGACCACGACACAACTCGTGATCAAGTCACCGACAGCTGTGCACCTCACAGCCACCAGTAGTGGGACGATGAGCCACTGACAGCTGTGCACACCACAGCTACCAGCAAAGGGACGATGCACCGTTGGCTGCGCACACCACAGCGGACAGCGTAGGAACGATGGGTCGCTGATAACTCTTCAGCCACCAGTCGTTGAGCTGCCAACAGCTGTAACCACTACAGCCACCAGCGCAGTAAACCTCTCTCTCTCTCTCGAAGGACCACGGCAAAACTGCCGAACACAAGGCTCCGATGAGCAGGGAAACGGGAAAGTTCAACTCTTTTTAAAGTGTCCACTAGGTGGAACTTATGGAAAATGAATCGATCACCACATGCAACCAGTGGATGAACGATCAGCAACTGGACGAAGCACGAATGCTCGGGAAATCTCCATTCTCGGACGAAAAGAATGAGACACTGTTCTCAATTCTACCTTTATTTATTCGCTGCTTCCTCTTCAATGGTTAAATGCAGGATACAGAATGAAACATGAAATGCAATGTTGTTTACTTTTATACTCTTTCATCGGCTGCGTCAGCCAATCAGGATGCGCCATTCGACGACGTCGTTCGTTTTCCTATTGGAAGCGTTCATCGCGTACATACTCCCGCCGGTTGGAATACCATTCCAAAAGCGGAAATCTTCGATTGGTCGTTGTCGGTAATAGGAAGAGGCGCCAACTTCCGAATGGAGCGCCGGAATACTCCCGTTGCAGTCTTCACGTCGGCGACTCTGATCACGTCATCCCTTCCCGGGTAAAGTGCAACAATTTGACCCAACCTCCATGACTGAACTGGTAGATTGTCTTCCATCAGTAGCACAATAGTACCCATTTTCACATTCGGTTCACTTTTTGTCCACTTTGCCCTCGATTGAAGCGTTGATAGATAATCATGCGACCACTTTGCCCAAAACCGATCACGCAAATTGTTCATATACTGATAGCGAGACAGACGGTTCACTGCTACATCGGAGTACGACGGCTTCAAAATTGGTTCCAATGGTCTTCCAATCATCAAATGAGCAGGTGTTATCGGAAGCGGCTCGTTCGGGTCCTCAGACAGTGCATACAAGGGTCGGGAATTCACTATGGCTTCGATGTGGGTCAATACTGTTCCGAACTCCTCAAACGTCAAAATTGCGTTGCCCAAAGTCCGATATATGTGGGACTTGACAACCTTTACTCCTGCCTCCCACAAACCCCCAAAGTTGGGTGATCTAGGCGGAATGAATTCCCACTCAATCTCTCGTTTGAGCAGAAAATCGTTGATCTTCGTTCTTGCGGTCTCGTCACGGAACATCAAGTACAATTTGTGGAGTTCTTTCGAAGCACCAATAAAATTGGTCGCGTTATCTGACATAATTTTACGAACCATTCCACGACGGTTGATAAAACGATCCAAAGCGGCGAGAAAAGCTTCGGTTGTCAAATCCGAAACCAATTCGAGGTGAATCGATTTCGTTGTTAGGCAGACAAACAGTGCAATGTATGCCTTTACGTGTTTCGGCTTATACCTTCCTTCTTTCACAATCACTGGGCCGGCGTAATCCACACCAGTGAGTTCGAACGCTGCTGCTACATTCACACGCTCCTCCGGCAAATTTCCCATTAAGGGCTGAATTCCTCTCGGCTTAGTCCTGAAACACTTTACGCAGCTTCGAGTCACTTTCCGGATGGCAGATCGAGCATTTACCAACCAGTACTTCTGCCTTATTGCTGCCAGCAAACCGGATGGCCCTTCATGCAGTCTCTCCTCGTGATATTGACGAATCAACATTTCCGTCACTCGGTGATTGCGTGGAAGAAGTAATTGGTGCTTGGCGTCATACGGTAATTTAGAGTTTTGTAGACGCCCGCCGACGCGAAGGAAACCTTCTTCGTCCAGGAATGGTTGAAGATTCGCCAATCGCTTCGGCAACTCCTTACGCTGAACACACTGGATCTCCTCGTTCAATCCGGTCCTCTGCAAAATCCTTACTATGTAATCCAATGCCTTCCGCATGTCTTGCACAGAAATGTATCTAGCATGTTTACGATTCTCCTTTTTCATTCGTATCAGTCGAGTGAATCTCACCACCTGCGCCAATACACGTTGCAGCTTGGAAAACGATCCGCACCGCTCGAATACCGGATCGTCTTCAACATCGACCGCTGGGTTGCACACTTGAGCTTGTCGCATTTCTGGTAACTCTTCATCTTGAATCACCGGAGTCTCCTGGATATCGTAGTTAACATCTTGCAGAAATAGTGGACCATTCCACCACATATCAGAACGATGCAACACACCAGGGTAACACCCTCTGGACACCAAATCCGCAGGATTATTCTCGGATCTGACGTACTTCCACTCGTAGGCACTAGTCAGTTTGTTAATATCCAAAACTCGGTTTCTGACGTAGACTTGAAGTTGATCCGGATTCTTCTTTATCCATGCCAGCACAATTTGGCTATCAGACCACAGCTTGATATCGTGGAATTCGGTTTTCAGAATAGGGATCACTACACTAACCAGTTTGGCCAATACCACAGCGGCACACAGCTCTAATCTAGGTATTGTGAGACGACGCAGAGGGGCAATCTTTGACTTACTGCAAAGCAGCCTAACTGACACTGCCCCGTCCTCCTGAACACAACGCAAATAAACGCATGCACCATAAGCAGTACACGACGCATCAGAGAAGCCGTGAATCTCAATACGTTGAGCTCCAGGAGCCATAACACATCTCGGTATTCGTATCTCGATCAGTTGTACCAATGACTGATGTAAGGTCACCCATCTACTCAACAACTCGCCCTCTAGGGTCTCGTCCCATCCCAGACCATCAGCCCACAATTGCTGCATGATGGACTTAGCCAAAGCGATCACAGGTGATATGAGGCCAAGGGGATCAAACAGTTTGGCGATTTGTGAGAGAACATACCTTTTAGTCACCTTCACATCCGGTTGCATCACTTCCGGGCTTCTCCAAAACAGGAACTGATCACATCTTGGGTCCCACAGAACACCTAAAGCTCGAATCGCTTCGTTGGTACCAGAATCTCCTATTCGAACTAGCTTTTCACGGTCTTGATCCGGAACACCTTCAAGAATTTCGTCGTCGTTGGTACACCATTTTCGGATAGGAAATTTTCCTTTCATCATAAGCTCCTCGATATCACTTCGCAGTTGCTTCGCGGATGCAAGTGTTGGGGCACCACTCAATATATCGTCCATGTAGCAGTCCTCTAATATCGCCTCTGCAGCTGCAGGAAAGTTGGCTCTTTCCTCTCTCGCTAGTTGAACCATGGACCTCACTGCCAAAAACGATGCAGAAGACGTCCCGTAGGTCACCGTTAACAACTCCATCACTTTTATCGGGTCCATCGGTTGGTCACGCCAGAAAGTTCTGTGGTAATGTGTCTGTCTTGGATCAAGTTTCACTTGCCTAAACATTTTCTCAACGTCTCCAGAAAATGCATATATGTGCATCCGGAAACGTAATTGGATTGTAAACAGATCGTTCTGAATCTTCGGTCCAATCATCAGAACTTCGTTGAGGGATAATCCGTTAGACTTCACCTTGGCGTCAAATACAACACGTAACTTTGTGCTGGTACTTGTAGGTTTAAGTACAGCATGATGTGGCAAATAGTAGCTCTGTTGGCCAGGCGGATCGTCTTCCTCACGGATCTCGTGGCAATGACCAAGGTCCTTGTACTCCTGCATAAACTCTTGGTACATCTCTTTCATCTCGGGTTTATTGGTTAGATGTTTCTCAATTGACAGATGTTTCTCGCCCTCTAGGGTCTCGTCCCATCCCAGACCATCAGCCCACAATTGCTGCATGATGGACTTAGCCAAAGCGATCACAGGTGATATGAGGCCAAGGGGATCAAACAGTTTGGCGATGTGTGAGAGAACATACCTTTTAGTCACCTTCACATCCGGTTGCATCACTTCCGGGCTTCTCCAAAACAGGAACTGATCACATCTTGGGTCCCACAGAACACCTAAAGCTCGAATCGCTTCGTTGGTACCAGAATCTCCTATTCGAACTAGCTTTTCACGGTCTTGATCCGGAACACCTTCAAGAATTTCGTCGTCGTTGGTACACCATTTTCGGATAGGAAATTTTCCTTTCATCATAAGCTCCTCGATATCACTTCGCAGTTGCTTCGCGGATGCAAGTGTTGGGGCACCACTCAATATATCGTCCATGTAGCAGTCCTCTAATATCGCCTCTGCAGCTGCAGGAAAGTTGGCTCTTTCCTCTCTCGCTAGTTGAACCATGGACCTCACTGCCAAAAACGATGCAGAAGACGTCCCGTAGGTCACCGTTAACAACTCCATCACTTTTATCGGGTCCATCGGTTGGTCACGCCAGAAAGTTCTGTGGTAATGTGTCTGTCTTGGATCAAGTTTCACTTGCCTAAACATTTTCTCAACGTCTCCAGAAAATGCATATATGTGCATCCGGAAACGTAATTGGATTGTAAACAGATCGTTCTGAATCTTCGGTCCAATCATCAGAACTTCGTTGAGGGATAATCCGTTAGACTTCACCTTGGCGTCAAATACAACACGTAACTTTGTGCTGGTACTTGTAGGTTTAAGTACAGCATGATGTGGCAAATAGTAGCTCTGTTGGCCAGGCGGATCGTCTTCCTCACGGATCTCGTGGCAATGACCAAGGTCCTTGTACTCCTGCATAAACTCTTGGTACATCTCTTTCATCTCGGGTTTATTGGTTAGATGTTTCTCAATTGACAGGAACCTCTTCAACGCTAATGATCGGGAGTTTCCTAGTTCATTGATGGACTCACGGAACGGTAGTTGAACCACGAATCGGCCATCCTCATCTCGTCGATAAGTTTTGCAGAAGTGATCTTCTATCGCTTACTCTTCATTCGTCAGGACTTTTTCTTCTGGAAGTTCTTCTTGCTCGAAAAACCTCTGAATGCTCTTCAGCAACAGATCCTCATTTGTGGCGCACAGCACGTTGACGACTTCCTCCTCGGACTCTTCTAAAGCACCGGCAATAACCCATCCGAACTGAGTCTCGTACAGTACGGGTAGATTATCAGAAAGTTTCAGCTGAGCTTGTTTCAGGATTTTGAAAAACAGCTCGGCACCGATCAGTAGGTCCACTTCTCTCGGTTCGTTGAAGCTTGGATCGGCCAACACAATACCACTCGGGAACTTCCACTCCGAGATGTCAACTGGAACAGATGGAATCTTTCCTGTCACTCTAGCTGTCACCAAACAGTCCATGTCACCTTGGAAATCGGTGTAGTCGGAGAAACACTTCAGGATCACACGATGACGAATTTGAGATCTGGCGCCACCCACTCCTACGACTGGCACGTTGGCAGGATACTTCGGAAGCGCTAGCAGTTTTACAGCAGATTCAGAAACCAGGTTGATCTGAGACCCGGCATCGAAGAGAGCACGCAACTTGAAATTCCTTCCACTCTTTGACGTAACATTCACCAATGCGGTCATCAAAAACACTTGTTTCGCTCGTTGTTGCATACTGGAACAGGCTGTAGACACAGGATCCTCAGGAACAGCTGCTGCTGTCTGCATCTCCTGCGGCTTGGATGTTCCACCTGGAGTTTTCATCTTCGGCTCAGCTTGGGATACCTGCTCGAAGTGCAACATGGTATGATGCTTTTTGGAACACCTCGAGCATGACTTATCTGATGGACAAGACCTGATTTGATGGCCTTTCCTAAGGCAGTTGAAACATAGTCCGAATTGCTTCACCTTGGTAACGCGCTGATCAACACTCATGCTCAAGAAAGAAGGACACTTGTAATTGCAGTGTTGACCCGCGCATATTTCACACACATTCTCCGGTGAACTGGATGTTGCTGGATTGGAAGTTCTTTGCGATGAGCTGGTTTTCCCCATCATAGGAGGGTTAACAGCTGCCTTAGCTGAGGACGCCTTGTCTACTTCACATCTCTCAAGTACCTGGCAATAACTTCTTAGGAACTTCATGGATTCTTCAAGGTCAGGAAGCTCTCCGTGCTCCATGGTGAGCTCCCACTGCTTCCGCGTTTCTCCATCAAGGCACATTGTAAGTAGCTTCACCACGATTAGACCGGCTGTTCCAACAACCTCCTGCTCCATGAACCGCAATCCTTCCACGTGGCGATTGCATGTATCGATAAGGTTTCTTAGCTCCTTGAAGCTTTGTTTGGCTATCGGTTTCATCGACAATAAACCGGAAATATGGGTGTCAATAATCACTCTCGGATTTTCAAAGCGCTCCTCCAACAACTCCCATGCTTGCTGATAGTTGTTGTCGTTGATAATTCTGGCATTAAGGATACCGGAAGCTTCACCGATCAGCGCCTTGTCCAGGTATTGCAGTTTAGTTGCATCGGAGTCGCCACACTTTCGGATCAAGTCATTGAAGAGAGCTTTGAATTTTGGCCAACCTTCGTACTTCCCATCGAAGGTTGGGATCGGCGTCTTCAGAGGTTGCTGAGTCACAATCACTTGGGGAACTCCATTATTAGGTTGTGGATCAGCACGAAGTAACTCCAACAGTTGATTCAGCTTCACTAGCGCCTCCGTGTGCAGCTCGTCGAACTCGTCCAACTTATTGTCCTGATCCTCCATGTTTTCACTAGTACACTGAGCCACGATCAAGTCATGCTTCACCGCATACTCCGAATAATGTAGTTCCAATTTCTTCTCATAAGCCTTCAACTGGGAAAGGCTCGCTGTTTCAGGTTCATCCATAGCTTCGTTTAGCTTCTGGACGATCATTGACACTCGCGCCTTTACTTGTTCTCGTTGATGAATTAATTGCTTCAATTTCGTCATGATTACACTTTTCACTACAGTTCACTCTCAACACTCACAGTTTTTAAGGGTACTACTGTACTACGATAGTAGGTTTCAAACACTTTTTACTCATTCGGGCACAAACTCGTTGGAAGGAAGGGTCACGAATATTCGCGGATGGACGTATCACACCGGTTGATATCCGGCTCGAAGGACCAAATGTTATTTATTCGCTGCTTCCTCTTCAATGGTTAAATGCAGGATACAGAAAGAAACATGAAATGCAATGTTGTTTACTTTTATACTCTTTCATCGGCTGCGTCAGCCAATCAGGATGCGCCATTCGATGACGTCGTTCGTTTTCCTATTGGAAGCGTTCATCGCGTACACCAGTAACCATAAACACAATCGCATCTTTGGCCATAGGTAACTCGTCTGATGTGTCTGGAAGATGTCCAGCGTACTGAACAGATCCCTCGAATGTTTTTGTTCGATGGTTCCATTCAAACTGCCGTCTTATGGATATCTCGTCCATCATCATACATACCAATATTCGTTCACCTTTAGCGTTAGCTTTTGTAGCTAATATCTCCAAAGTAGTCATTGATTCAGATGTAATACCTGGCTCACCATCTACAGACCGATACCATCGAGTAATGGTCTTTGGGTGAGGCAAACGGTTTCCAAACGATTGTCGAACGAATAAGTATGCTCTGGGAGAGTAATAGTGTAAGGTTACAGCAAAGCATTTCAGTTGTTCACTGTACTCTCGTCCTTTTCCATGTGCAGAGCTCAATTCTTCCAACAGTAAGTTATGTCCACAAAAAAACCTTGAAAATTAAAATAGCTTTTAAAACAAAATATTTATGACCACTTTTATTTAGTACCTTCAGATGATCTGTAGCACATTGGGGGATCAAATTTCGTTCACAAGCTGCTTGTTCTAGTGATTCAACTTGCTTCTTGAGACGCCTACATTTCTGTTTCAATGTGTTTTTAGATTTCTTCACTAGTTCATGAGCCTTAAGAAGACGCGGTAAAATCTGCAAGGCTTCTTGAGGAGTAATATCTTTGTCATTAGAAGTGTCTGCGTTAAGCTTTAGCCTATATTAAAGTAATACGGTTATAAATAATTATTTAAGTTTAAATCAAATCTCATGGTGCATCATCTGACAAAATGAGCTCTATATCTTGTCTAAAACATAAGAATTGATCAGTACAGATTCTCCAATACATAAAAAAAATGAACTTACGTCTCGTCTTTCAGATTTTTTTGGAAGATTACGGGTGATGCATGCTTGTGCAAAGTACGTTTGTTTGCGTCAATTTTGTAATCACGCTCAAGAAAGTGATTGCTGCAGATCCTAGATTTCTTTGAAGTTTCTATGTCTATGTGCTGTCCAGTAAATATTAAAATGGATCTGATCCACATTTTCGTACTATTTTGGTCTGCTGGGAATCTAATAAGAGGTTTCAATGGAAGTAAAATGTAATTTACGATGTAAGATGGTTATTGAAAGAAATTTCAGCTATCGGACACTAATCTGTCATTTCAAAACGACAAACAAGGCGAACACGAAGATTAAAATTAAATTGGCAGTTAGTTTGAATTTTAAAATCCATATCAGTTAACAAACAAAAGCAAATTTCAATCAGCGAACGATAAGTGTAGTCACTTCAATACATTCGTACCGTTGGCTTGAAAGGTATAAAGGTATAAACGTTACCCAAACTCTATTTGTGAGTCAGCTAATAAGCAAATAAGTCAATGAAGTTAATTTGTCAAATAAAATGTATCAATAATTGCGCGTATAGCTTATGTGTTCATAGGATTTATGTGCTTCCACAAATACACAGCAAAAATTTCTTCATGTAACGCCCGATATAAAAAACTCACGTGCATTGCAAACTATTTCTACAAATCCCTAGAGATGTACCAGCTCTAGCTGAAAATCTTCTTAATAAAGATAGTTAATTATTCCTTCAAATTTTAAGAGAATCTTAAACAGTGATCACACGATTCCTGGAGTTTAACATTTTTTCCTTTATATAAGACTTTTCGCAATGAATGTTGTGACGACACACAAAAACAAACTGGCAAGCTGCAAAAATGTCATGACATTTCTAAACTGTTTCCTGACAGCGTCAGAACATTTTTACACAAAGAAGCAGACAAGACTGGCGGTGCGTGCGACATACATTTATGGAATGTAGAATGCTGGTGATTTCTGGCTAATTACTGCATATATTTGATGTTTATTGCTTAGAATAAAAAGATAAGAATGAATACTGACCACTCCTAAGCATAAATGTTAAAATTAAACTTAAATAAGGGAGTTGGTAATTTACTGTCACACGCAAGCTTACAGCTAAAATGTCACTACAATAAACTATTTGGAAAAGAATAGGTTGTGACATTTTATTTTTTCTCTTCCGTTCGCTTGGAATGTGCATGAGCATCAAAGAATCATGTTTATGGTAACCTTAAATGCTGTTCTTTTTTGATTTTTATTTAGCTTACGCTCGTTCAATTTCGTTTTACTCTATGTGCTGAATCTTGCAAATCAACGGAATTCAATTTTAAAAATATCATATTAAAAGCGATCCTATCACCGGGAGTCCACGGTACTATAATTAAGTAGTTATTTTTAAATACGCTGACATTTGATTAAGCCTTGATACTGCCCAAAGAAGGCCGCCACGACCGTATAAATATATTAAATTACATGAATTGTTAATTATTCAGTACCTTTTATGCTTACCTGTGGCTGCTATTATCCATAGCGTTGGAAAGATTCCGATGGCATTGCTCGATAGTACAACGCATTTTAAATTTAGAATATGTTTTGAAAGCAATGAAAGATCACGGACACTATATCACTTAAACAACTAGAAAAAAACTTAAAAATACTGTTTACAGTGATGAAATCTTAAAC